TTTTCCTGCCAAGTTGCTGATTGCAGTCACGCAACCTACCCAACTATCCGGCAACTGCGATAGTATCAATAGGGCATGCACTTCGTCATCAAACTTGATGTTGACTGAGATAAGTTGATCAACAATCGTGTTGAACTCGCTGAGATGCATCGTGAAGGAACATCCTTCTGCCATCTTGAGATTAAATAGCTTCTTGACGAGATGCACCTTATTTGCAGCTGACGGTTGCTCGTACATCGTTGCGAGCTCTTCCATAAGCCCAACTGTCATCTTCTCCTTTAATATATTGTGTGCTACAGATTTTGTGAGGGCCAATCGGACCTGCCCCAGGGCTTTTCGATCCAATATTTCCCAGTCGTCGTCGGATTCTTCTTTCTTCTTTCCTTTTGCTTTACCCATCAACGGACGGTAAAGATCCTTCTGGTATAGATAGTCTTCCATCGGTGACTTCTAGTAGGCGAAGTCTGATTTGTCAAACTTCTTAATTTTTGATTTGCCTTCTTCTGCCATTTCTTACACACACAGATCTGAACAAGAGCTCTGATACCAGTTGTTGGGGAAATATCAGATACGCTCTGACATCCGTTCTATGGAATTTGCCCTACCGCATCTTGTGTTAAGCAATAGAAAAAAAAATCATTACAAATCAAAAAATAATTGCAAGAACAAAGAACACCGATTTTAACAAGGTTCGGCAACTTGCCTACGTCCTCGGGAGCCACACAAATAATTTCTTTTATATTAAAGAAGATTACAAAGCTTGTAAAGAGCAAATCTCAACTTGAGATTTCTCAAAAGAAGAGCCAACAGAAAATATCTGTTGTTCTAAAAGGCGCGAGACTTTACAACAGTAAAATCTCCTCTCTCTTCAATAAATAGCTGCTATAGGAACTCAGATTAAATGAACGAGATTTTCTTTTGAAAATCTCGAGCTCAATAAAATGGCCGCCGCCAGAAGTTTAGCGCTCTGAAGAAGGAAAAAGAAGCGGCTGCAACTTTTTCTCTCGTGGACATGAGTTTTATAAGAAAACCCTAGGACAAGCTGTCGTGAGCTGTTCCACACTCAAACGCAGGCGAAGGAAAGGGGAAGGCGATTTCTCCTGACTTCCTCAAATCGCCTGCAGCCCCAAATCCAAACTCACCCGAAGGAAGCACCCAAGCTCACCTGTTTTCTTTTCGAGCTCGCCTTCGACTCACGACCTCGCCTGTACGTGGGACCCGCTCGAGTTCAAGTCCGCCTGCAACCCTTCACGAGCTCGCCATCAGTTCTGCCTCGAGATTCGCCTGTTCGAGTTCATCCGCGCCTGCCATTGCCTGAAGCCTCGCCGGAGTGGGTCTCGATCTCGCCTGAAGGTCGCGACGTCGACCTCGAGCTCGTCTGAGCTCACCGACGCTGACAGGTATGGGACTACACCCAATTTCTAACAGATTAGTGTAAAACACTTTTGCAATACGCTTATTCTAATCTGTTTTCTAGGCTAATTAGCACTCATATACATTATTTCCCGGTATTTCCTTAAATTGATGTTTAACCTATTACAATGCTATTGTACAATAGAACCACAATAGGTTTAGAACACAGCAGGTAAATTTAACTAGGTCTGTCCATCCGGGCCGGGCAAAACCGGGACCCGAACCCGGACCCGAGTACCCCGGGCTGGCCCGGCTGATTTTCTTTTTTTTTCCCAAAATTTTTCAATTTTATTTAAATTTTAAATTATAAAAAAAGATAAGAAAAATAATAAAAACAATAATTTTATTAATTACTTAAAATGACATAAATTACAAATAAAAAATGATAAAAACAAATTCTTTATTAATAACTAATAAATCATTTACAAATTATAAGTACAAATTTATTTTGGAATTAATCGCATCATAATAGATAAGTAAATCCCAACTAGGTTGGCACCTACTCACCTATATCACTATCATTTGCAATTATTTCCAAAATAATTCTTTACAAATTTTAAGCTAAGATATAAAAACTACAATCTATTCTTTATATCTATCTGCTAGTCCCAATTCTTCAAATTTATCTTCAATTCCAGCCATCCGATCGATGCCTTGCGTTCGCTTCTCGTACCTCCACCAATCTTGTAAGCACATCACCGCTTGTACAGTATACGGATCCAAGCATGTCCTGTGATCGTCGATCAAACGACCTGCTGTGCTGAAGGCGGATTCCGAAGCTACCGTCGAAACCTGCACTGTTAGTAAGTCACGAACCATGGTGGAAAGTATAGGATATGAAACTGATCCATATACTTTCCACCATTGCAAAATATCTAAAGCATTTCCTTGACATCTAACTAAAGAAGCAGAAAAATATTCATCTATTTCAGAAACCTCCGATGATGACGATCCAAGTCCAGATCCACCAGTTAGCTCGGCTACCATTGCATACCTATCAAAACTTACACTTTTACCTCGGGCTCGGGATGAGCTCGAAGAAACCGAAGCTGCAGACTGTTGTGCAGCTACACCATGTCTAGCTGCATACTCATCATATAAAGTTTGAAAATAATTTCTAATAAGTAAATGATGAGTAGTAGCATTCAGGGTGGTTCCATCATCTAAGTCTATAACCTGTCCACCATACAATGACTGTAACAAACTTCGAAGGCCAATATCCTTCAAGCATGGATCAATAAGAACCCCCAAACCAAAAATATGAGGAATAGGCCTAAAATACTTATTAAATTTGCTCTCCATTTCAAAAACCATAGGTCCAAAAGTAGCATCCAAACGATATTTATCAAATTTTTTTTGAATATTTAAAATTTGTAAAGCAGCTAAAGTAATGGTTGGATAATAACAGCCAGATAATAACATGGTAGCATCATAAAAAACTTGTAACATTTCATTTAAATTACATATAACTGTCCATTCATCTTCAGTTATTCCATAAGTGCTACCAGAACTAGAACTAGAAGCATAATAGTTTATAAAATCAGTTATAATGTCTTTATATTCTATTGCTACACTTAACATTGCATATGTGGAATTCCACCTATGGTCAACATCTTTTGGAATTAGTCTAGGCTTTACATTTTTTCTTTTACAAAATTATTTCCATCTTTTAAGTCTTTGTTCAGAAGCACTATGCATGTAAGCAACTGTTCTAACCTTTTCTATCATGGGTTTAATTTCAGTAAATGTACTTTGAATAATTAAATCTAAAATATGACAGATGCACCTAATATGAAAAAGATCACCATGACATGGCAATGATAAAGATGATCTGATAAAATCAACAGCTACATTGTTATTACTTGCATTATCTAGTGAAAGAGAAAATATTTTTTCTGAAATTTCTAATTTCATAAGTTCTTCAATTATTAAATTTGAAACATTAGCACTAGTATGTGACTCTTCTATTGTAATAAAAGAAACAACTCTTTTAAATATTTGCCAATTTTTATCAATCCAGTGTGCTGTGTTACATAAATATTCAGTTTGTGCTCTAGATGTCCAAATATCAGAAGTTAAAGAAAATTTACAGTTTAAATTTTTAAAATAAGAAATTATTTTTTCTTGTTCTTGCTGATAATATTTTAAAATATCACGTTGACAGGTTTGACGAGAAAATTTTTTAAATGCAGGATAAAAACCATCTCTAAACATATCTTCAAATTCATCATCTTCTACTAATTTAAAAGGAAGGTTTTTAAGAATGATAAACCTGATTACGCATTTCCTGGCTCTGGCAGCGTCATAGTTCCAACTACCGAGACTACCAGAAGAGGAGGATTGAGAAATCATAGATTGTCGGATATCACCTTGAGGAGTCTGGCCTTTGTTGTGTTTATCTAAATGGCGTTTGAGGTGGTTGGTGCCGCTCTTATGATGAGCTTGAAAAATCTTGCCGCACAATGCACACTTAGCCTTCTGGGTGAGGATCCTACCGTGTTCATCCTTGGTGACGTCGATCTTCTCGTAAAAATTCCACACATCGAATCTTGTCCTTTTAGGAGCTCTTGGTGCAGATTCGTCGCCACCGGATTCAGGATTAACTTCGGTAGGAGTAGACCCAGTAGGAGGACTCATAATAGGAGGACTCATTTCAGGATCGGGAGACAGGTTTTGCTCTTCATAATCAGATCCGGAAGCCATTTGATGAAAGGATTAGAAAATATAAATAAGAGAGTATAAGAGTATAAGAGAGAGTATAAGAGTATAAGAGAGAAAAGATGAGTTTTTGGTGTGAAGAAAACAAATAAAAACCCCCCTCAATTTATAGAACCAGCCCCCTAGGCAAATGACCAAAATAACCTCACAAAATAGCCGTTTTTTGACCGTTTTTGGGGGCAAAACGGTCAAACCGGCGTTTTTGGCCGTTTTGGCCGGGCCGGGCCGACCGTTTTCCGGGCGCCGCTGAGGCAACCCGGACCCGGGCCCGGAACCCGGCCTGGCCCGGATTTTCGGGCCGGGCTCCGGGCCGGGCCCGGGCCGACGGGTATTTTGGACAGCCCTAAATTTAACAATAAAATTAAAAGAAATTAATGATTTAAAAAGTTCTAAAATTAGCGTGTGACCATCATATGGAAATTTTGGAGGAAAATTTTTCCGTTTGCATAACATAAAGTATTAAAATACAAATTCTAAAAACTTTAGACTATATAAGCAGTGGCTGGTTAATTGACATCATAACCAAGTATTATGCTTAATTTGCACCTTTCCCCCAAACTATTACACCTATTGACTTCAAACACCTAGCGTTTTTAATGCAAACACCCAATGGGTCAAGTCTCAAACTCGACCTGTTTAAAAATCCTTTACCAAACTCTATTAGCCCATCCTAATTCTCAATGGCATAGTAGTTATACTTGTAGACTTATAGCCTTGCCCCCGATGATAAATTTTTGGATACATCCCTATATATTTTATATTAGTCCTGCAAAAAATAAGCGAGGGTATATAAATGTAAAGCGTGTGAAACTACATAGAAAATTTACCCCCTTTTGCTGGCCGGCACCCCTCCTAATCTCATCTCCAATTGGCCAGAGTACTCCATCACCTCCAAATCCGAAAATTTTAAAATGTAATCAAGGCGGTAATGACGACGACATCTCGGAATAACTTGAGCCGGTGATTACGCCTCCAAATTTCAAATTTAAATCCCTTCTTGTCTGGACGACAAGAAAAAGAAAAAGGAGGGGGGGAAAAAACAATAGAAGAGGGCTTCAAGATGCAGCAACTCCTAAAGAAAACTGGGTTCCCCCCATCTTACCCTTCTCATTACCATCAACCTCGTTCCTCCCCCCAGCCGGACACGCTACCATCTCTCGCCTCCGATATGCCACCTAAGCTCCATCGCCGATCTCGTAGCGAGATCTCATCAGGGTTCGACGACGAAATGCTGAATGAGCTCAACTGCTACGAATCATCGGAGAGCAACTGCAGCAGGCCTCGCCATTGCCGGAGTGCTTCAATGGGTAATTTGGATCTTACTGAGTTCAGCAGTGATGAACTGGAAAAGATCATGGCGAATGAAATGCTCGCAAAAATTGCACTTGTGGATCCTAAGAGAGTAAAAAGGTACTTGCTTTTTTGTCAATTAATGTTTCGTTGTTGTGAGGAGGATCTCTGATTTGTTGATTTTGTACAGGATTTTGGCTAATAGACAGTCGGCTGCTCGATCAAAGCAGAGGAAGATGCATTATATCTCAGAGCTAGAGCGGAAAGTGCAAACCCTGCAGTCAGAGGCTACTACATTGTCAGCTCAGTTAACTTTGTTGCAGGTGAGAATTCAGATTGAAATTTTAATGGGATTTTATTTTTACGGAGCAATGTGGGAGTTAACTTTGAAATTTTGATATTGTTGCAGAGAGATACTGCTGGGCTTTCGAGTCAGAACAATGAGTTGAAGATTCGAATTCGAGCCATGGAGCAGCAGGCGCAATTAAAAGATGGTAACTTTTTTTTTTGTTTTCTTTTTCTTCTCCAATCTTAATGTTTGCATATCAGGTGTTTGGTATTTGGTCGAGCTGAATTTGTGCTTTCCTTTCTGAAAAATATTGCTAAGTAAAAGGGAAAGCTCCTATATTTATTCATGTAGGCAATAATATGATCTACATACTGGCGTCATGAGTATTATCCATGTTTGAGAGAAAGTTATATGCTATTCTCATGATGACATCCACCATTCAACCCATCTGTATACCTGATTCTATACCGAGAATGTTTAGAATGATCAATGTCCCAATGCAGCCCAACCCCCATCCCTTACATAGCCGTCAACACCCTCTGCTCTAATCGGTGACGCCATCATGTGAAGCGCCACCACTTGCCATCATGGCGGAACCCTAAGCACTGCCCACCCCAAGCACCACCATCACTGCTGCTGCAACCTCTGCCTTACCTGAGCGCAAACCAGCAAACCTCCATCATCACGCGCCCATCGCTAGCAGCAACAACACAGCAGCCTCCTATCGCTGGTTAACCATCAGCCGCTGCTACGACCCTCGCTGCCACCGGCACCCCTCAAGAGCACGGTGCCTCACTGCCAAGCTCCACCACTGCAAACATAACTTGACACAACATTGTCCACCAACAGTTCGATGATATGCCTTGCATAATCCAGCAGTCGCAGCCGCCTCCTACGCATCCTTAGACACGTCGTTGCTACTATGCTCACAAACACCTCTCCGTCTGGCGAAGCCCCTTCTCACCAACTCTAATTATGCCCTTCGCTGCCTTGTCCGACGGATGATCACCATCTGTTCGACTAAATGCAAAAGCCACTACAATCCTCACCATTAGCGCACCAAACTGCTTGCCCATCTTTGGTGGCTTCCAATGCCCCTCTTGTTGACTTCGCCGCCAACGATGACAGTCATAACCATGCTCACCTTTGATGACCGCTTGATGCTCATCAACTATGGTGCACACAAGGTGTTTGACGGATGCACACAAACGTTCGACGGAATGCCTGAGCGACATTCCTCACTCTCATCCTCTCGGCCAAGCTTTCCTCCGGCCAGAAACCTGGCCAAGCTTCCCTAGTCAACACCCTCGACCAGCACCCCTGGTCACACTCTTCCTCTTCTAGCCAGCACCTCGGAGTATGCTTTCCCCCGGCTAGCACCCCCGGTCATGCTTTATCCCGGCTAGCACCTCCGACCACGCTTCTCTTTAGCCAGCACTCCCGGCCAGCATTCCTGGCCAAGCTCTCTCTATTTAAGCTCTCACCAAATAGTTACGCCCTCACCCTCTTTGACAAGGCCCTCACTGGACAACATCACACACCTTCTCGGCAAACTGCCTTTTGAACACAAATACAATTTGAGAGGAGGTGTTAAATATAGTAACTAGACTATCTTGCTTTGCTTTACTTTAGTCATATATTGCATATGTTATTAGAATCTCTCTACTTTCTCTTGTATTTAAACCCTTCAGCAGAATGAATAATATAGTCAATTTCTCGCAAATCTCTCTAGACTTATCGGCTAGTGTTAGGATGAGGGTGTAGATCAAACCTCATTTCCGATGAGGAGCGCCGGCGAGGAGCTCCGACGAGCTCGATGTTGTCGCAGGCGAGCGTGGATGTCGACTCAGGCGAAGTCGACGGCGATCCCCAAGCGTGGCCTCAGGTGGAGCTCAAGCAGGCAAGCTCGCGTTTGGGGAGGGGGAGTTTCCGACCTCTGCGTTTGGGGCGGTTCGAGCTCTGCGTTCGTGTCGAAGCGACCTCTGCGTTCGTGCGAAGCTGGCGTCGAAGCAACTGTGCGTTCGGCTCGAAGTTGGCGCTGGCGACAGGCTGTCGCCAGCCCTCTCCTCATCCGCCTATAAAAGAAAACCCCAGCCTAGGGTTTTTTTTGCTGCTGATTTTCTTCCCCCCTCCTCCGACTTTTCTCTCTGGCGGCTGCCCTAAATCGCTGCTGCGATTTTGTGATTTATCCCAGTTTCAACAATGTTTGAGGGGATTAAAGAAGAGAGAGAAATAGAGAATTAAAGAGGGTTTTAATTGTGGGGTATTTATTCTCAAGTGAGAATTGAAAGGGTTCATACCCTTTAATTATTAACACTGTAGCTACAGTGTTTATTTGAGAAATCTCAGTTTTGAGATCTGCTCCTAAATTGTAATTTCTTGTTTGATTAATAAGAAATTATCTGTGTGGCTCCCGAGGACGTAGGCAGTTGCCGAACCTCGTAAATCTTGATGTACTTTTTTTCTATTCTGCGTTTCTGTTGCATTAGGGGTTTAGGCGTTAAATTCCTAACAACTGGTATCAGAGCGTGAAACGATCTAGAGGAAGTCAGATTCAAGTGGGAGCCATGGCCGCAGATGAAGGGAAAATAAGACTTGAGAAATTTGATGGATCAGATTTTGGATTCTGGAAAATGCAGATAGAGGATTATCTGTATCAGAAAAATCTGTATCAACCACTATCGGGGAAGAAGCCAGATTCTATGAAGGAAGAAGAGTGGAACCTTCTAGATAGACAAGCCCTCGGAGTTATCAGATTGACGTTGACTCGCAATGTTGCGTTCAACATAGCGAAGGAGAAGACCACGGCAGGTCTTATGGCAGCACTCTCAAACATGTATGAGAAGCCATCAGCCGCGAACAAAGTTCATTTGATGCGGTGGTTATTCAATCTGAAAATGGCGGAAGGCGCGTCAGTAGCACAACACCTCAATGAACTTAATACGGTTACAACCCAATTGAGTTCAGTTGAGATTGAGTTTGATGAAGAAGTTCGGGCGTTGATATTGTTGTCTTCCCTACCAGAGAGTTGGAACGCTACAGTCACAGCTGTGAGTAGCTCGTCGGGAAAGAAAAAGTTGAAGTTCGGCGACGTTCGTGATTTGGTTCTCAGTGAGGAGATCCGACGGCGAGAGACTGGTGAAGCTACAACCTCTTCAGTATTGCATACAGAGTCAAGAGGTAGAAATTCAACCAGAGGAAACGGACGAGGAAAATCAAACTTCAGAGGTAGATCAAAGGACAGGAGGTCCAAATCAAGGAATCCAAGCAACAGCTCGAAGGCTATCGAGTGTTGGAATTGTGGAAAGACCGGGCATTACAAGAATCAGTGCAAGAGTGCACAGAAAGAGAAGGAGGCGAAGGCAGAGGTGAATGTCACTTCCACTTCAGGAGGAGACGACGCATTGATATGCTCTTTGGAGAGCAAGGAGGAATCTTGGGTGTTAGATTCAGGAGCGTCGTTCCACGCTACTTCTCAGAAAGAATTCTTCGAGAAGTATACCCCCGGAAAACTTGGATACGTATATCTTGGTGATGATCAACCGTGTGCTATAGTGGGCAAAGGCGTGGTGAAAATTAAGTTGAACGGGTCAGTATGGGAGCTGAAGGATGTCAGGCATATTCCCGACCTGAGAAAGAATTTAATATCCGTAGGCCAGTTGGCTGGCGAAGGATACACCACAACCTTCCATGGAGGTGATTGGAAGATCTCAAAGGGCGCAATGACGATTGCCCGAGGCAAGAAGACTGGTACCCTGTATATGACAGCAGGTGCACGTTGTTTGATCTCAGTTGCAGCAGGCAATGAGACTTCAAAGCTGTGGCACCAGAGACTCGGTCATATGAGTGAAAAGGGGATGAAGATTATGCACACAAAGGGAAAACTCCCAGGACTGCAGTCAGTGGAGATGGATATGTGTGAAGAATGTATACTTGGAAAGCAGAAGAGAGTCAGCTTTCAGACAAGTGGCAGAACCCCCAGGAAGCAGAAGCTAGAGCTCGTTCACTCAGATGTTTGGGGACCAACAACCACCGCGTCCATTGGTGGAAAACACTACTTCGTGACTTTTATCGATGATCACACTCGGAAAGTATGGGTCTACTTTCTGAAACATAAGTCAGAAGTGTTTGAGGCTTTCAGAAGATGGAAAGCCATGGTCGAGAATGAGACCGGTCTGAGAATAAAGAAGCTCAGGACCGACAATGGCGGTGAGTATGAAGACACCGGATTCAAGAAGTTCTGCTATGAGCACGGGATCAGAATGGAGAGAACCGTGCCCGGCACGCCTCAGCAAAATGGTGTAGCTGAGCGGATGAACCGAACGTTGACAGAGAGAGCCAGAAGCATTCGAGTACAATCAGGCCTACCGAAGCAGTTCTGGGCAGAAGCGGTCAACACAGCAGCTTACTTGATCAACCGAGGTCCATCGGTTCCATTGGAGCACAGAATACCAGAGGAGGTATGGTGCGGAAAGGAGGTAAAACTCTCACATCTTAAAGTTTTCGGTTGTGTAGCTTACGTGCATATTAGTGATCAAGGCAGGAATAAGCTTGATCCCAAGTCAAAGAAATGCACTTTCATCGGCTATGGTGAAGATGAGTTCGGCTACCGCATTTGGGACAACGAAAACAAGAAGGTGATCCGGAGCAGAGATGTGATATTCAACGAGAAGGTGATGTACAAGGACATGCACAAGACTGACGACTCAGAGAGCGAGTCCACATTTATAGATGCAGATGATGTCCCGAGTAACCTCTCGGAAGAACCCAATGCAGAGGGTCCTCAGCAAGAAGAGCCTGTTGGACAAGATGGTGCGCAGGAGCCCGACGCACCAGCTCCGATATTAAGAAGATCTTCTCGTCCTCCTGTACCCAACAGGAGATACATGAACTATCTGTTGTTGACAGATGGTGGGGAGCCTGAAAGCTTTGATGAAGCTTGTCAGTGTGGAGATGCGAGCAAGTGGGAGCTTGCCATGAAAGATGAGATGAAGTCCCTCATCTCAAACCAGACGTGGGAACTAGCTGAGTTGCCCACGGGTAAGAAGGCACTCCACAACAAATGGGTGTACCGGGTGAAAGAGGAGCAGGATGGTTCCAGGAGATATAAAGCCCGATTGGTTGTCAAAGGTTTCCAGCAGAAGGAAGGAATTGACTACACCGATATTTTCGCTCCCGTGGTGAAGCTAAATACTATCAGGACCG